AGATAGATAGATAGATAGATAGATAGATAGATAGATAGATAGATAGATAGATAGATAGATAGATGCATTAGTAAGGAGTAGATCTGCATTATAATATGGTACAGTCATCTAGTCAAATCCAAATAAGGTTTTGCATGTAGATTGCATATTTTAAAATTTCTAATTACCTCACTAGGTCCTTTTCCACTTTTGCTAAATACACTTGCAATCTACAGAGTAGAAAATGTCAACATGTATTGAATTGCAGTTAAAAGCCACTGAATGAATATATCCTACTCATTTTATCATATCATCTGTGGGATTTCCCGAGAACATCTGTGACAATAACTTCCACATGGCACATAAAGGAAGACTCATTGAGCTATCTCTGCTGGAGTTTAGTGCTTGTTACTGGACACACATATCAGCATTTGTATTAGTATTCAAGGGATAAAATTCTTGGCACACAACTGAGCGACAAAGTGCTCATAAAAATGGAATCACTTATCCATCAGCATAAGTTTGAATCACAGGGTGTAACTATGTATAGTTTAAAATATTTAGAGCATATCTTAGAGGAGAGTTCTATAAACCGAGAGTGCTTTGGTTACTGGGACTGAATAAGGAATTTGAGGTTGATGTCACATTAAGGTCCCGGTGCTATGCTTCACTCAGGTAGAACAGGTTTGTGATTAAAAAAGTGAAGGAAAGCTAATTGTCTGACTGACCCCTAAGTGGGCAAAACTTCTTTTCTGGGAATTTTTTAGTACATATGTCTTTTTTTACTCCAGTTTGGATGTTCTGATCATTTCTGGGTCTGAAAGCAATTCAGAATCAATATAGTGTAATTTTTGTGATTGACTATATTTTGCAATGCGTCATCATATCACCATTTTCTAAATGGATAGGAAGTAGGTAAACATCAAATTCACATTTGGATACTGAACAGGTTGGGAATGAGAGCAAGACTCATGCAAATGTTAAACTTTTTGGAATTGTCACCCTATGTGTGATACAAAAAGAGTGAAATGAGGTGTATTCACTAAAAAAAAATTCCACACACCTATGCATCACATATGCAAGTAAAACTCCATTGTAAATTCTTTGTAAATATTAACTCAGTTCACACTACAAAAATGGGTAATTTCTCACTTGTTTAGCTAATGAGGCAAGTGAACAGATAAATTTTCAGGAGAGCTTAGAGCAGGGCTGCAGAGAAAAATCGGATTGAAAGTAAGCACTTAGATTCCAGAGGCAAATTTAGAGTTATAGTATATAGCCCTTCGTAATTGGTGATATTTTACATTTCTGTATGCTTAATGTCTCCTTTATGTAATTAATGAACATTTTTAAATGTGAATAATTTCAGTTTTCTTTCAGAATTTTACCTGAAAATAGTATTAGTATATCACTCCTGTATTTTGTTAAATAAGATTAAGATTTTTGTTGTGAAAATACTGTACAGCGGGGTTACAGTTACATAAGCAAGGTAACGAGTACATTTCTCTTTTTTTGCATTATTTTATTGTGAAAATACTGTACAGAGGGGTTACAATTCCATGGGCAAGATAATGAATACATTTCTTATCAAGCATTGTTACCTCCTCCTTTGTTTCCCCTTCCCATCCCTTCTGATCTCCCTGCCCCCAACCAACCCCCCTACTCCCCACCAAAGTTGTAGAGTTCGGTTTTCCACATAACGACTTGTACATTTCATTGTTGCAATGGGTCCACCTGTATCCCTGTTTAAACAATTTGTTTTTTCCCTTCCCCTCCACAAATAATACCAACATCAAATACAGTGAAAGTAGAGGTTATAGCCTGGGGGGGGACATACAAAGCAACAAAGAAATATCTTATAAATATGTTAGAAACAATCACATGAAAGAAAAAAAAATTGAATCCTTATTTTGGGGTTCATTTCACTTGCATTTGTCCAATTGATCACAAACAAGACCATGCTAAAGCTACTAGCACAACTATGTTTGTTGTAGCATTATTTACTATGGCTAAGATATGAAACCAACCCAGATGCCCCTCAGTAGATGAATGGATCAAGAAAATTTGGTATATAACACAATGGAATTCTATGCCTCCATCAGAAAGAATGACAATGCCCCATTTGTTAGGAAATGGAAAGACTTGGAAAAAATTATATTAAGTGAAGTAAGCCAGGCCCAAAGAAACATAGGTCTCATGGTTTCCCTTATTTGCTTTAACTTTGCCCTATCTTGAGGTTTGTTTTGCTTAAAATCATCTTAGGTGGTCATATCTGTAGATATGTAACACAATATAGGAAGCCAGGCATTGGTGGCTCAAGACTGTTAACGTATAGACAGGCTGGGGTCTGAGAATTGAACTTTAAAGCCAGCCTAGGCAGGAAAGTCTATGGGACACTTTTCTCCAATAAACCACCAAAGTGACAGAAGGGAACCCATGGCTCAAGTGAAAGAGCACTAGCTTTCAGCAAAATTAGGGAAAAGTCATTAGAACCTGGGCTCAATCCTTAGGAGCCACACCAGACATGCACAGGAATATGTACATAAAGACATCTTCATTAAGCATAAAATAACGTTTGGTAGAAAATCCTGTCATCAAAATACCTCTGTATTCGTTAAAAGTTATGATACCTCTGATTTTTACGATGTCCAATTCAAAAGGAATACTTACATAGATCTTAAAAACAGTTTTATATGTACAGACATGTAGATGAGAAAAAAATAGAAAAATCTTTTCATTTCCTTAAATACACACAAAATCCCTAAGGATCAGAGAAGAGAAACCCTATGCACAATCTGAATTTTTAAAGTATTTTCCTGTGTGAATAAAATGAAGATAATTTAACTTTGAGATTCTAAGGTTCTCTGTAACTGTAGGTCATTGTAGTTATTTTCCATTTCTCCGATATTGTTTCTCTAATTAAAGGCTTCCTAATGCTAGTATGGCATTGTTGATTTTTAAATTGCAATTGCAAATCACTTAACAGCATCTCAAGTCCAGCAATCCTCTAAACCCTTTTAGCTTCACTATTGATATTCTAATCATGGAATTAGAGCATCTTCAGTAAGCAGATGAGCTAATGTAGATGGGCTTCCTTTGGTGTACAAATCAATAAAAAGATATGGTGATGACTTTCAGTTCCATAAGCTACCTACTGGAAATGAACATCACTTTTCAATTACTCATATTTAAATACATGTAATTTGCATTAAAATCTTTATCATTTCCATTATTTTAAAACTGTCCATGCCCTCAATTTGTACACGTATGTGTTAAAATCTAGTGGAATATTTGTGTCACATATTTATCATTTCTTTGTTTTTCAACTAGGCTTTATTCTCATCTTCTCTTTGGAAAGTAGGCAGCATTAAAGAAACATGCTTCATGATAGAATATTGACAATAAGCATAACCTGAGTCTGGGAGCAAGTGGTTCTTCAGTTCATGGAGTAGGAACAGAGGAAAAGTAAAAGGTCATCTCCTAATGGTAGAGAACCCCATTATGGAGGGTGCCACCAGAGATTTTCTGCTTCCACTCACCAAGAAAGAGTGTCCATTCTGGTGAACCACCTATGGTCTTCATCACCATAAATCACATCCTCCATTTTATCAAAGCAGTTATAGGAAGGAGAGAGCACTCACCTCCACATTGACTCAGTAATTAATCTGAAAGACTCCTGAAGTTCCTTCCATTAAAGAGTTGCCAAAATCTTCAGGGGACAGTTGGAACAAGGAGTCTTGTGCGTGTTCCCGGTCGTAGAGTGCGTAGCTGCTGCTAAGTGTTAGTCTCTCCAGTCTACCTTGTGCCACCCTTTGAAGGTCACCTTGACATTCATATGACATTCCTGTTGAGCTTTGAGGTTATCTTCTGCTCCTCCTGTTTTCTCTGTAACAGCACCAAATACTTAACACCACGCCAGCCAAATCTGCACATTAAGTCATCTTCCCCGACAGCTCCCACAATGCCAGCAAGCCCCCAGTTTACTTACTGCCACTCCCCTTGCCAGCCTCTGGATTTCACAGCCATTTGCTTCAAACCTTGCTTCGGGTTACCATACACACTCGCACATGACCGTGGGAGATGAGTTACCACCATCCCTTCCACATTCCAGCCAAAGTCTTATCGGTTCTTTATTTCAGAGTTTTCAAATTCCTTTCTTCCAGCATTTTCAAGTCTACGGCACATTATTGTTATCTAACGTCGCCTTACTGTGCAATCTCACACCAGAACTTCACACCAGAACTTCTTGCTCTGTGCCATTGATCATCATTTCCCTCTTTCTTCCACTGCTTTCTCGGGCTTTGTGGGTAGCTAAATTGCTAACTTCTCTAAGGTCCACAGTTTCAGATTCTATGTATGTGTGAGACCAACAAGTACCTGTGTTCTCTGTGTTGGTTTTGTAGTGGTCTCTGTTTTCAAGATCCCATCTTATCAAGAAATTGAATAGATTGACACTGAATGTAGCTAACGTATTTCATTTATCTATTAGTCAATGGATGCCTCTATTGTTTCAATGTCTTCCATATTGAAAAAAACTCTGTAATGTTCAAGGGAACATGGATGTCTTTTCAACATATAGTTTTCACTTCATTGGCTATAGCCCCAAGAGTTGATTGCTGGATCAGATAATGCTTCTATTTTTAATTATAGAGGATCTTTCATATTATATTCCATAATGGTTCTTTTTATTTAATTTCCACTGGTGATTTTTCAGGGTTCCCATTTCCACATTCTTACCAATCCTGAACACTAGGTCCAAATTAATTGGTTCATCCTGACCATATTTTGAGTAAAATGATTGAATTATCTTCCATGGAAAAGTATTCATGATGTCCCTGAGAATGCTAACTTCCAAAGGAAAATGGCATCTGGCAGATAACAGACTTGAACTCTTTAAAAGCAAACAGTCAGTTTCAAAATCTTCTTTTGCAGGTGCCTATGTCCTCCAGGTCAAGGCCACAGACGCGGATGACCCAACCTATGGAAACAGTGCCCGCGTGGTGTACAGCATTCTCCAGGGACAACCTTATTTCTCTATTGATCCCAAGACTGGTAAATTCTTTATTCAAGACAGTATTATCGCCAGTTCTTCAAATATTTAAGTGTTAATTAAAACTTGGCATGAGAAATTGCATGTTCTAATAAAACGATACAGATTTGGTGAGCCCCACATTAGGTAAAGAAGGTATCTTACTTGACTGATGTACAACTCTTTCTCTTTTATTGAGGTTTGCGTAAATATCAATATTTTCATATCCAGTTATAATGTTCAAACATGAAAGCTACAGATTTTCTGTTTGCCTTATTTTAAGTTTTCAGAAGTCAGTGCTTATTTTGTTCATCGGACTTAAAATAGCCTTTCATTTCAGGGCTCTTAGTTGAGTTCATTTGCTTACTGCTTTCCATTACTGCATGGGAAATATGGGTATTTCCATGCATGGAAAGATGCTGACCTGATGCTGCATGGAAAAGTTGTGAAGAGAAGGTTTTGGTTAATACTGACATGCTTATAATCAGGAAACCTTGAAACAGTATGATCCTCAACTCAGCCTCAGTGTTCAAAGCTAATTTAAAATGATCATGAGTAAGTCAACTACAGATATCCAAATCAAATATTCTATGAGTAGCATAAAATATACATCCATATTGGAAGGCATATATGGCCTTTTAGGTCTCTATTATTAGTGATGCTTAGGACCAAACCCAGGGCCTTACTCATACTATTCAACATTATGCTACTGGAAGTTTGTTAAGAGATTATTGAAAGCTCACTTGGTATCCAATACCACAGATAAAGTAGAATTTCATCCATTTAACCAATTTTAAATCATAGTTTATAGTTTATTGTAATATGATTTAAATGCTACTTATTGTATAGCTAAAGAAACAATATCAATTTTTGACCTACAATTCTAAGGTATCATCATTTGGTGAATTGTTTCTTACAGACTAGACTAAAATAAATTTAAAAAGTATTAGATAGATGGATAAATAGATATACAGATACATCTCTTTACTTTTTACAATCCTGTTCAATCCACTAGGCTTTTCCTGTAGCTATGAAGCTGAGAATAAGAAATACAAGCACTGCCTCATGTAATAAAAACACTTTTGCCAGGCACTGGTGGCTCATGTCTGTAATCCTAGCTACTCAGGAGGCTGAGATCTGACGATTGTGGTTCAAAGCCAGCCGCGGCAAGGAAAGTCCATGAAACTCTTATCTCCAATAAACCACCAGAAAACTGGAAGTGGTGCTGTGGCTCAAGTGGTAGAGTGCTCGCCTCGAGCTGAAGAGCTGAGGACAGTGCCCAGGACCAGAGTTCAAGACCCATGATGAACAACAACAACAAAAATAACCCAGAAAAAAAAAACACTTTTAATATGGATTTCTTTAAGAAAAAAATTAAAGGTATTATCAGCTGAAAAGAATCAGAAATTCTGAAGAGAATTCATTTATTTGTATTGATAAAAATGCTGAAGATTAAAAAGCCTGAATGTACAATGTATGCAAAGGAAAGTCACATTTACAAGCTATTTAAAAATAATATCATGGTATATATGGGAACAAGTACAGTAATACTATTGTTAAGGAAATTTCATGGCTTTTAACTATTGAAAATCATACATAACTATAGAAAAAAGGGAAAATAGGAGGAATGAAGTTAAGAAGCTGTCTATGAGATTTATAATTCTGTAAATACCCAGAGAAATGAACCCAAAAGTATATATACAATAAAATGACGGAAAATTATTTAAACTCTTAGATTCTATCAGATGAGATTACCATGGCCTACATTTTTCTCATAGATCCATGCATCTTTTCAAAATTGATCTTAATGGTCAAAATAACCAGAAGTGTATATGGATGACACCTATCCCTTATACCCCTTCAGTAACACTCCTCAGAGAAAGAAGAAAGAGGGTATGGAGCAAAGATGGTATATGGATATCAGTGAAGAGAGGATTGGTGTTAGTTTACTCTTATATAGTTTCACCTACAAACTGCATGAAATCTGTGATTTTAATGCCTAGTGTAAGAAAGACCAGGAGAGCAGACTTAAGATTTGTTAAATATCTTTAAATGGCAGAGATGAATCCAACATCTAACACAATCAAGAAAACATTATGCAAGATAGTTTAAACAGCATCCACAACGTGATTTGAAGCCAAGTTAAATGATATCCCAGAAACTGAAACTGATGGAAAACAAATCTTGCTTGGCTGTAGTCCCCCTTTCCAAGGCCCTCAGCAATGTATTTGGCAACTGTATTGATTTATGACTTTGTTCTTTCTGTGACTATAACAGTTTGCTTAACTTCTCTGATGGTAGAGCATGTTATTAAGGATAAATTGAATCTAGGTTTCTGGGATCACTAGCATTTGTTTCAGGTAAACTATTTTCCTATCACCTTTAAAAACAGGTCATATATGATTTAAGAAAATAAATTCAGTGAGATTAATTTGGGATAATATAATCTGAATCAAAAGATTTTCTCTTCCCTTGACTTTACTTAAGCAGAAAGAAAAGTAGACAAATTCTAGTGTTTATAAATAGCATTATTTTATAATAGATTATATATTCATATATTGTTTGTATTTATAAACATAATGTGGTTTAATAATTTTGTATTTGTAATCTTTTTTTTTTCAGTTGGACATGGGGCTTGAACTCTGGGCCTGGCCACTCACTCTCCCTGTGCTATTCACCTCTAAGCAAGCGTGCTACTGCTTGAGCTACAGCTCCACTTCTGGCCTTCCAGGCTGACTTTGAACCGTGTTCCTCAGATCTCAGCCTTCTGAGTAGCTAGGATTACAGGTGTGGCCGCAAGAGCCCAGCTGTATTTGTATTCTTAAATGATGCTTAATGTTTATAAATAAAGGTGAAACACTTCTGGCATAAACTACTCAATAGATTTTTGAAGCATTGATTTTTTTTCCACTGGAGACAGAAGTCTTGATACTAACAATGCCTCAGATCACTAGACAGGAAAAGAGTGGATGATGAGGTACTTCATTAAGAGAGTGAAAACTAGTTGTGCATGCACAGAAGCCATTAAGAAGACTTCTTGTCAAATTTATCACCTTGTGGTACATATGGAAAGTCAAAAAAACAAGGATAATTGCATATTCTACAAAATAGTCTCCATTCATTACAGCTGTATAGCTTCCTTTTATGATTGCTTTTGCTGTTATTAATTAAAATTCATGAGAAATCAATGCTATCTAAAAATTTCCACATCTGAGTATAGAAAACAGTTTAAAACAATACTTGAAAAAGATGCTCATGAAAAACTTTTGGTGCTTAAAGATTTAAGAAGAAAAATATTAACAATTTCATTCTTTTAAAAAAAGAAAATACAATGTGGGCCGTTGGTGGCTCACTCCTGTAATCCTAGGTACTCAGCAGACTGAGATCTGAGGATCACAGGTCAAAGCCAGCCCGGGAAGAAAAGGTCGTGATACTCTTATGTCTAATAAAGCACCAGAAAACAGGAAGTGGTGCTGTGGCTCAAGTGGGAGAATGCTAACCTTGAATTGAAGAGCTGAGGGACAGTGCTCAGGCCCAGAGTTCAAGAACCACGACCAACAAAAAAAAATATATCAGTTGTTTCTGTATTGCTCTTTGATAATATACTCTATTAGCAAGTATATATATAAATATATAAAAATCATTAAAATAGATATGTTACATTAAATAAACTAAATAAGAAATCTCATAAAAAGTAGGAAAATTGTTTAATTAACAAATTTTAATACTCAGTATACACTTGTGTATGCTTGATATATCATCGTGTAATAATTGCCTATGACAATTATTAAATATTTATTCTCAAATATAAATGAAAGTGTGCTTATTATATTACATGCAAATAGAACACTGATGTATTTATATATATATTGCATAATTTTATTACATAAATTATCATGTTTAAAGTTTAAAACAATAGAAGTAAATATGATTTATAAAACTTTACATATGAGCAAAAACATTGCTTTGATTTTTTTCTTCACAATTTCCAATCACCTTGATAATAGACATAAATAGGGAATCAAATGTTACTGTAAAGGGTCCATTCCTATTTCTAAATTCAAGTTGAAGTGTTAGCAATGCCTTCAACTTTTTCTAAGTAACTTCAATTGAGTCTTAAGTAACTCCAGTTTGATGCAGTGTGTAGTATAAAATGATGTTAATGATTTGAGCCCCTTTTGAGAAAGCATCATTATGATATTATTTCTTTTTTATATCTCTTCCTTAATTTACAAATGTTACTTTTTCTATGCTCATAAAATACTACAATGTTTTTAACTGTATAGTCAACTGCACTGATTAGTGCTTTTACATAGCCCTGGAACCATTGCTACCATCTATCCCGAGAAGATTGTCCTCAATATCTCTTCACTTATGTGTACTTTCAAATATGTAACCTTTACAAATCTTTATATATTTCTACCACATTTATAGAATTTGAATAAAAGGAGTTGATGCAGGAGATGGTTATTTCTCATTATCATTTCACTTTCTAATATTTCATGTTGGTTGATTCGGCTGGGCTCAAGTTTGCAGCACATATTACTGAATGTTTCCAAGATCTGTGTTCTTGAGTCTGTCATGCTTTATTCAGAGCTGTTTATGAGGCCACATTCTAAATGAAACTTCTAATTAACTGATATTATTAGAGTTAAAAAATTGTGTTTATGCTTTAAAGCTCTATTTTTAAATTGTAGCATGGACTATATCATGTATTGTACTTTGGAGTACAATACAATTCTTAAGATATTTTAGTGTTTGGGCAGTTGTTTATTCGAAGATTTGTTGTTGGGGGATTTAATTTTTTGAGTTCCAGGTATATTTTAGATATGAGACCTTTGTCCGTTGTATGGCTAGTGAAGATCTTCTCCCAATCCGTGGGCTTTCTATTGATCTTACTAGCTATGTCCTTTGCCATGCAGAAGCTCTGCAACTTCATGCAATCCCATTTGTCCATCCTTTCTTTGATTTGTTGTGTTTCTGGGTCTCTATTAAGAAAATTTCGGCCTGTGCCAAGGAAACCTAGGGTTTCTCCTAATCCATCCTGTAATGTTTTCAGAGTATCTGCTTTGACTCCGAGGTCTTCGATACATTTGGAGTTGATTCTGGTGCAGGGTGATATATAAGGATCTAGTTTGAAGTTCATTTGATTTTAATTAAGAATAAAAATGATTTAAATTCAGAATGAAAATAATTTAAGAACACAGATAATTTAGGTAATGCTGGTAAGAGAAAGACAATTTTATTCCTTCAAAGAAAAATAAGAGTATTCGCCTACACAAAGTGATCCTTGCTTTAATGTGTTTTAATAAAAGTAATGAATTACTAGGAAGCATGAAGACAGGATTGATTATGGACATAGCAAGGGCAAGAAAATCAATAGATGCAAATAAATATAAGAAGCAAAAATGTGTCAAGGAAACATACAATTAATAAGATTAAACTGCACATTTTAACCTATGTATAGTGTTTTACAAATGTTTTGTGATATCAGATGATCAGGAATGCAATATTGATATGTTTTTCTTGGACCTTACATTGACACAATTGAGGATAAATCAGAGAATTTTCTACTAGCTGTGCTTTACAAATTACAAGATGGCAACATTGGCAGAATATCTATGAAGGTTTCACCTTGAAAGGACAAAACTTCTTGTTTTGATTCCTGAGATGTTTTAGAGCTATTCTTTAGAAGAAGGATTAGAGATATTCTCTGATTCTCTAGAAGGAACACCTACGTATTGATGGCTAAAAGGAGCTGTAGGAAAAAAATAATTTTGGCTATGTAAATATGTGTATGCATACACAGAAAAAAGCTGATGACAGCCAGACAATGGTGGCTCCTGCCTGTAATCCTAAGTACTCAGGAGGCAGGATCTCAGGGTCCAGGTTCAAAGCCAGCCAGAGCAGGAAAGTCCATGATACTTTTTTTTTTTGGGGGGGGGGGTTGTTCCAGTCGTGGGCCTGAACTCTGGGCCTTGGCGCTGTCCCTCAGCTCTTCAGCTGAAGGCTAGCGCTCTACCACTTGAGCCACAGTGCCACTTCCGGCTTTTGTCTTTTTGCTTATGTGGTGCTCAGGAATCGAACCCAGGGCCTCAGGCATGCAAGGCAAGCGCTCTACCACTGAGCCACCTTCCCAGCCCCCCATGATACTCTTATCTCCAATTAAGAACCAGCAAACCGGAAATGGCACTGTGGTTCAAGTGGTACAGTGCTCACCTTGAGCTGAACAGCTCAGATACAGGGCCCAGGCCCAGAGTTCAAGCCCCATGACTGACAACAAATAAAATAAAATAAAATAATACAAGCTGATGGCATATAAGAATGGTGCCTCGTGAATATCTTAGGAGAGAAAATAGTGAACAAATGCTTTATTTCTGAGACTCTGATAAGAATGAAGTGCTTTGTATGAATTTGGGGACCTCCAGCAAGCCCTCAGAAGAATACATTGGCGTTTCCTAATATATAACTCTATTATATCTAGAGCTACTATTTTGAACCATCTGCTATTGATTGATTAGGGGGATGGAAACTTTCATAAGTCCTAAAGAACAGATAAGGCATGTTGTAATCAAGATCTTGACACACGGTGTGTTATTTCTCTATTGAGCACACACCCTTTTCCCTAATAGGGATAAATGTCCAGGTTTGTCGCTATCATTTTGTCTCCTACTTTTCACTGATTTGTTGAATGACAGCCCTCTATCCAAATACTTAATGATAAAAAATACAATTAACAACAACAAAAAAATCCATAGCTTCAAGAGACTTAAAAATAAAGCATCAGGACCCTGAGCTAAAGAGAACAAACTGAATCAAAATGGTGTCTGGATCAATGTATGGATAAAAGGTCAGCAACAGAAAAGAAAAAATGTCATTCTCTAGACTGCTTCCTGACATTTTTTTGGGGGGAGGGTTAGATAGAAACTTAAGTCTAATTAGCAACAAAATAGCATTTGTTATATAGAGAGTAAAAAGTACACATAAATAGGTATATAGGATTTGAATACTATGTGCTTGTAGAGGTGGCTGATGTTATCTTTATTATTCATGGATGTTTCTTTATTTAAGACACAAATTACCACAGCATTGTGCTTTAAAGTCAAGACTCTTGAGTTTCCTCACTAAGCCTATTTACATACTGGATAATTCAGTGGATTAAACATTAATTATTCAGTTTTTGGTGAAAAACATTAATTTTACTTGCAAACAGTAGTGATGCTTCTTCTTCTTCTATGAATAAGTATTATATATATATATATATATATTAGACACAAAACTTTGTATAGCTTATTCCACTCACCCTGGAAGTCACTCACTTTGCCAGTGACCTCCTGAGTTCCTTCAAACTGTTAGAAACCATTTCTCAGTGTTCAAGGGACTCTGTGTCTTTCACCAAAAACAAAATGTTAAATAAGTGGTAGATAAAAAACCTGTTGTTAAACAATTAAGGAACTTTCAAAATCACAAAATGGAATGTGTACATCACACATGTGATGTGTTTTAAAATTATTAGAATAACTACTCTTGAAAATAATAAAAATGGCCATCATTACGATCACATTCCCACCATCTAATTATATATATATATATATATATATCCATATATGACTTATTATTTTCTGTGCATTTCAATATAGTCTAACAGGCGATTTAAAGTATTTTAGAACAAATGCATTGTTTTCTAAATTTCCCTCAATAAAAATTATTGCCTCTAATTTTTAGTTATTTGCAGTGTGTTGCTTACTAAAGAACATGATTTTAGCTGCCTGCCTTTATTTCTGATTTTGGAATCATTTTCTTCTTGTTTGACTGTGCTTTAGTTTAATAAATACAGATCTGTAGAATTGATCTGGTGTTATCGCTTTCCTCCTAAGGGGTCATTCGGACAGCTTTGCCGAACATGGACAGAGAAGTGAAGGAGCAATACCAGGTCCTCATTCAGGCCAAGGACATGGGCGGTCAGCTGGGAGGACTGGCAGGAACTACCCTCGTCAACATCACCCTCACGGACGTCAACGACAACCCGCCTCGCTTCCCCAAAAGTACGTCAGCTATCTTCTTAAGTTTAAATTAGCAGGCTTTGTGATCGAAAATTCTCCCACAGAGATCATCGGTCTTTAGGAAAGAGAACAGAGAAATTATATGACTCAGAATTTAAATTTTTTTTCATGAAAATCATGACTTATTAGAAAGGTACAAAGGGTCAAAAGTTGAATGATTACTTTTATGCTAATTGATTCCTGTTGAAATACAATATTCATAATAGGTTGATGCTTTGCTCTCAAATCTTACTAAGTAAAAACTTACACAATCTAAGGTAAGATATCATCACATTCATAAGGGATATTTTTTCCACATTATTCTTTTATCATGTAAGGATTATGAATATTACATGCCTTATTTTGTCAATTACATTCATAGAAATAGTTTAATACATTTTTGTGTACTCCTTAATACATTTTCTGTAATATTGATGTTGTTTCTTTTACTTTTGTTCTGACTAGTTACTGTACCCCAGACTTGCAATATGTGACAATTGCTATGGTTTTTATGATAATAGAAAGAGTCACACCTATCCCTTCTCCATAGCTCTGTGTTTCCTTGAAAATGAGCACTTCTCACCTAGGTTTCAACTAGGTTCCTCCTGGGCATTTCATTTAGCACCAGTCAGTAACTATTTGCTTTCTGGTGCATTTTAAAGAATTGTTTCCTTCTTCCTGAGAAGACTCTTGAAGTTGAGAGGTTTTATTCTGATTTATTAGGGGAAAAATGATTTTCCTCTTTCCATTTGCAGAAGGGTTTATAAGCTCATTTATATATACTTATATATGTATACATTATAATATATATATAACATATAACATATAGTATATTATTGCTAGATAGCTAGATAGACATGTATATAAATCTGTCTATATATGAGATTATTCCAATAAAATAGATATCTTATTTTTGAGCCATATGTTTTGTTTCATATTTTAATTTAGTCTCATATTATCTTATATCAGTAACATATTTTCTTTATGACAAGAGCTTTACTCCATGAAAAGAAAATACAATGGATAAATGTTGCAAAATTGGCGATTAGAAACTATGGTACTTTAATTAATGTGTTAATTAGTTCAATTAATCCCTTCCACTAAGTATACATGCTTCAAAATGCCATGTTGTTTGTACACCAGAAAGGCATACGTTTCTGTGAAAAAATACAGTAGAATTAATTTATTAAAGAAAAATAAGTGTCCCCACTGTAGCCAGTGGATATGGCAAGTGATTAGGAAACCATATATAGTCATTAAATGCACAGAATGTTTAAAAATTATACTCAACTTTCTGTTAAAGGAAACAAAAACAAAAAACAAATAATGCAGTTGGTTCTCTAGCATATGACATTATTATGAAATATGATTCCAACAGTAAAAACATTCCATTTCCTCCTTGTTTTTTTTTTAATTTTGTTTTACTCTCAATCTGAGGAACACAGGGGTTACAGTGACATAACATTTGTTGTTAAACTTGTTCTGTTTTTTTGTTTTGTTTTTATCTTTTCATTCTCTTGTCTTCTGTGAAGCAAGGTCTAATAGCTACTTGAGAAGGATAGATGGAAACATTATATTGTGTGTATGTAAAAGTGGTATTATAAACTGGAGTCATGCTTTGGATTTAGTATATGTAAAATGTGGTGGAAAGTAGTTTATGTGATAGCATTCCTTTGCTCTCATTTCTTTGCTTTTGAGTTGTGGAGAGTCAACTTGAATTTGATTACTTGCAGAAGTATTCACAGATATTGTTTCAGTGTGGCAGGTAAAAAAAACAACTATTGTAATATTATTTTAAAGTGTAACCAATTAGAAGGTAGGAAATAGCAAATATAATTTTAGGGAGCATAACTCAACTTATTCACATGATTGATAGCAGGTACTTTCAGATCAGAGATGCAAAGTCATTATAACCTATAAGATGAAATCCTAGTATGAGAAAGTATGATTGATAAAAGAGACCCAGACAAATAGACTAGGGCATAGTGACATGGCAATCCCTTAATGAAACGTTGAACATCTTTATTTTGTTTTATTTTTATTGTGAACATAGTGTACAGAGGGGTTACAATTACATGGGCAAGATAATGAGTACATTTCTTATCAAGCATTGCAGCCTCCTCCTTTATTTACCCTTCACATCCCTTCCCATCCTCCCCCCCTCCCCCCCACCCCCACTACCCCACTCAATCCTCCCTCCTCCCCCACCACCAAAGTTGTAAAGTTCATTTTCAACATGACAACTTATACTTCTCATTGTTGTAGCTGGTCCACCTGTATCCTTACACGACTTGTTTTTCCCCTTCTCCTCCTGAAATTATACCGATTTGAAATACAGTAAAAGCAGGGGATATACTGTGGGGGAGGGACATACAAAGCAACAAAGAAATAATCTTATAAATGCATTAGAAACAAATGCATGAAAGAAAAAAACATTTAAATACATACTAACATCACATTTTCTGACCTTTTCTGCTTGACTCATACATATACTAGATATTGAAAATAAGGGAAACCATGGGACCTATGTTTCTTTGGGCTTGGCTAACTTCACTTAATATAATTTTTTCCAAGTTTTTCCATTTCCTAACAAATGGG